TGATGGCCCAAGTGCTTGCTTGGGTCCCTGCACCCACGTGGGACTCCTGGATGGAGCTCCAGGCTCCTGACTTCTACTTGGCTCAGTCCCGGCCATTGTGGCATTTGGGGGGAGTGAACCAGCAGGTTGCTGATCTGTCTGTCTCTCCATCTCTCCCTAACTTTGTCTTTCAAGCAAATGAATAAATCTTTTAAAAACAATAGGAATTCGCCCTGTGACTTACCAAAAGCACATTTGCCATGCAAAGCAAGACGCTCGCTGTGTGACACACAAGTTCTGGCTCCGTCTCGCGGCTCTGGAACTCCCAAGTCCTTGGGCTCCAGTCTCCTGGGCCCGGGGCCACTCGACTTCTGCCCCAAATAAACCCTCGTGGAGCTGCTCACGGATCCTGCTTATTTTAGCACAGCACTGATGGTCCAAGTGACAGGGTCTCTGCCAGCCCCCTGGGAGACCCGCATTGAGCTCCCAGCTCTTGGCCCTGGCTCCAGCCCCGTCCTGGCCACTGCAGGCATTTGGGGAGAGAACCAGCAAACAGTAGCTCTCTTTCACTGTCCCTCTATCTGCTGGTTCACTCCTCATATGGCTGCAACAGCCAAAGCTGGATGAGCCCAATCCAAGAGCCAGGAACTCCGTCCAGGTCTCCCGCGTGGCTGGCAGGGACCCAGGTACCGAAACCATCACGGCTGCCTCCCAGGGTGCACATTAGCAGGAAGCTGGGCCATTGTGTCTGAGAAACAGCAGATAATAGATAGGAAGCTTCTGACTTCAGCCTGGCCCAGCTCTGGCTGTTGTGGCCATTTGGAGAGTGAACCAGCAGATTTCTCACCCTCTCTGTTACTTTACCTTTCTTTCTTTCTTTCTTTCTTTCTTTCTTTCTTTCTTTCTTTCTTCCTTTCTTTCTTTCTTTCTCTTTCTTTCTCTCTCTCTTTCTTTCTTTCTTTCTTTCTTTCTTTCTTTCTTTCTTTCTTTCTTTCTTTCTTTCTAATAAATCTTGAAAGAAAGAAACAGTTACAGAGACAGAGGAAGAAACACACACACACACACACACGGGAGGGAAAGGAGGAGGGGAGAGGGGAGGAGAAGGGAGGGTGGGGGAGGGAGAGAGGGAGAGAGGGAGAGGGGGAGAGGGAGAGAGAGAGAGAGAAATCTTCCTCCTGCTTGTTCACTGCCCATGGGACCAATGGCTAGGGCTGGGCTGGGCTGATGTCCAGAGCTTCATCTGGGTCCCCAACATGGCTACAGGGGCCCAAGCACTCGGGCCATCTTCCACTGCTTTCCCAGACACATTAGCAGGAAGCTGGATTGGAAGTGGAGGAGCTGGGATTCAAACCAGCACCCACACAGGATGCTGGTGTTGAAGGCGACAGCTTTATCCACTATGCCACAGCGCCAGCCCATACCCTACTTTTCAAATACATAAATCTTCAAAACAGATTTTTTTGGCATCAAAATAAAGTTCTTTGTATTCTGTTTTCACACACTTATACACACACACACACACACACATACACACAGCAAATCCCAGCTGAGACTACACAACCCCGAGTTCAGTTTGTCTCCGCACTTTCATTTTCACCCTGGGTACAGCCATTGTCAATGACTCAAACGCTTCTCGGCTGAAGAATGAATAAACCCCTTGGGATCTACCAGACAATGGAATACTACCCAGCTGTGACAAGGAGACTCTACAGTGTGGACGGACGTTGAGAACACTTTGCTCCGTGAAAGAAGCCAAACACAGACGAGCACACAGGGTATGCGTCCATCTACATGGAACGTTCACAACAGGTAACACCTACAGGACAGGGGCTGGCGCCGCGCAGCAGTGGGCTCATCCACTACCTGCAATGCCAGCGTCCCGTAGGAGTCCCGGCTGTTCCACTTCCAGTCCAGCTCCCTGCTAATGCGCCTGGGAATACAGTGCATGATGGCCCAAGTGCCTGGGTCCCTGAACCCACATGGGAGACCCAGATGGAGTTCCAGGCCCTTGGTTTTGGCCTGGCCCTGCCCTGGCTGTCGCAGCCATTTGGGGAGTAAACCAGTGGCTGGAAGAGCTCTCTCTCTCTCCCTTTCAAATAAATAATTAAAAAAAAAAAATCTACAATGACAGACAAAGGGTAGTTGCCAGGGCCTAGGAAGGGGAGCTGGGGTGCAGGGCTTCCTTTTGGGGGTGACATGTTTGGAACCACAGGTGTTGGTTGCACAACACTTGGCACTTAATACTGCTGGTTCACATACTCTGGAGTGGTTGGTTAATGGTTAATTTTAGATTATGTGAATTCCCCTCGATAAAGAGAGGGAAAAAGTAAAAGGTCGCACAAGGCTCAAAAAAGCACACACGGCCCCCAGCCCCTCCCGGCCACCTTGCGCCCGTTCAGAATTTACGAGCGCTAGCACCCCAGGTGCGGGCATCTGTGCCCACCGAGCCACATCTCTCTCCTCAGGGGTCCCAAGCCCTCCACCCTGGGGGGCCCAGGCAGCGTGAGAGATGGGGTGATCGGAATGGCAGGGAGAGCAACTCCTAGCCGAGAGCCACAGGCAAGGAAGTAGATGGCATGGGAGCACCGGAGCAGATTCTTGCATCTCCCAAAGATGGGCTTGTGCTGGCCGCCAGCGCCACCCACAGGCCCCAGCTCCCAAGGCGGAGAGGTCTGAGCCCTGCGTGCAGTCGCGGGAGGCACAGGTCCCTCCGCCCGCCAGAGCCTTCCGAGCCTGGAGTTCCTGGGAGGGACTCCCGCCTGGCTCTTCAGGACGGGTTAGACAGACGGCAGCATGGAGCGAGCCCGGCTCCAGGGGACCAAGAGCTGAAATCCCGGGGCCTCACGCGTGACGCACACCTCTCCCTGCCACCAGCCAGGGGCTCAGGGGACAAAACCCAGCAAGGCCACCAACCGCTGTGAATGTCTGGCTCGTGCCCTCTGCTCCATGTGTGGCAGCTGATCTGCAGGGAGGGGCCCGTGAACAGGGGCTCTGGGAGTTCATGCCCGAACGTGTCCCATCCTCCCCGACCCTGCCACACACACACAGCCTGGGCCGATCCGGGCTCCACAGCATGCGGCAGAAGGGATGCATTTTGGAGATCCCCGAGTCCCTGCGGAAGCAGCGTGGCCAAGCTGCCCAAGAGGCCACGTGCAAGCCCCAGGCGTGGTGGCTGCCTGTGTGACACTGCCCGGCCCAGCCCCCACCACGCAAACAAGAAAACCAACAGAGCTGTGGGCAAGGGAGGGGCTGTGAGGGTAGGGGGTGGGGATGTGGGTGCAGGGGAGAGGCTGCAAGGGTGGGTGTGCAGGGCCCTGGGTACAGGGGAGAGGCTGGGAGGACGGCTGTGTGGGGCCCCAGACGCAGGGTGTTTCTGCTGTGTCATGAACCCAGGACCCAGCGCAAACGGCAGCAGGGGTGGGATGGGCCCTGCCGCCGACCTGAGCGAGGTCGAGAAAAACCTCACGAGGGAGAGGACTCCCACCGCCTGGCTCCTCCTCCTTCTTCCTCCCAGATGGAAGTCATCCACAAGAGGCCCGTTTTCGGGGGGCAGAATGGCCTCCTGCTGGTCACTCCCCAAGAGGCTCCACTATGGGGGTGGGGGGTGTCACCAAGCCGAGCTTTACCACCTCCAGGAAGCCCTCCAGGTGCACGCTGCTCCCCCCTGCCCCCAACCCAGAATGTCACCATCAAGGGGCCAGCCCAGCACCTGCTGGAGCTTGGGGCCTGGTAGTGGCAGGTTCCCGGGTTCACGTCTACCTCCGAGGGTCCTGGGGAGGCCACTGCCTTGCAAAGGGGTCCCTGGACACATACCTGGAAACAGGCTGCCTTATCTGCTGCCACCCAGGGTGCTGCCTTAACCGTAGTTTCTCAGCTTCTGGAGGGCTGGTGCCCTAACAGCTGAGGCCGTGGTGCCCAGGGAAGGAGAGCCCCCGCCAGGGTGGGTTCCTGTGCTCCTTCCCCATGCAAACCACCCACCCACTCCTCACCTCCCTTGTAAGGGGCTCTCCACGCACCTGCCCTGACAATCACCCCGGGGCAGGTGCCAGTCTCTGCCACAGAACCCACCATTCCTAAGCCTGCTCTCCCTGCCCTGCCCACTCCGGGGACAAACCACAGTAAAGACTGCAGCCCCCAGGCTCAGCCCCTGGCTCCAAACCAGCCCGGGTGCTTCCCGTGTGGGTGTGCATAAGTGTGAACCTCTCCGGGAAGATGGCCCAAGGTCTCCCTGTCACCCACATGGGAAACCCGGATGGAGTTCCTGGCTCCTGGCTTTGGCCTGGCCTGGTCCCAGCTGTTGTGCGGGGTGTTTGGGGGAGTAAACCAGCAGATGCCAAGATCTGTCTCTCTGCCTTTCAAATAAATAAACATAAAATAATTTTTTTTTGACAGGCAGAGTGGACAGTGAGAAGAGAAAGAGAGAGACAGAGAGAAAGGTCTTCCTTTTGCCGTTGGTTCACCCTCCAATGGCCGCCACGGCTGGCGCGCTGCGGCCGGCGCACCGCGCTGATCTGATGGCAGGAGCCAGGTACTTATCCTGGTCTCCCATGGGGTGCAGGGCCCAAGTACTTGGGCCATCCTCCACTGCACTCCCTGGCCACAGCAGAGAGCTGGCCTGGAAGAGGGGCAACCGGGACAGAATCCAGTGCCTCGACCGGGACTAGAACCCGGTGTGCCGGCGCCGCAAGGCGGAGGATTAGCCTAGTGAGCCGCGGCGCCGGCCTAAAATAAAAATTAAAACAGAACAGAGCCAAGACCACCCCAGGATGCCCAGCTTCCACCTCACAGGGGAAAACATCAGGGTGGGTGGGGGTCCCCTCCCCGACTCAGGGCAGGAGGCGGCTCTGCCCCAGGGCCCATGTTAACGCAGGTCACCACACCAGCCCCGGCTCGCTGGAAGTAAGAGGCAGCACAGCTGACAGGGTGCTCAGGACAGGGGTCCCCGAGTCCCACCCCTATCTGGGACTGCACAGCGCCCCAGGCCGCCCCAGCTAAGGCAGACAGAGTCCCAGAGACAGGCAGAGGGCGAGAACCACCTTTAATCACTGCCCTCAGCCAGGAGTGTCCAGGCACAGAGCTGTCCCCCCAGCCAGGAGCGGCCTGGGGCCAGCCCCTCGGTTCTGCCTGCGGCACGTGGTCTACAATCCAAGCTCCCCGGGCCCACGGCGAGTGTCCCGGGACGCCGACATCCACAGCCACGCCTGCAGGAGCTCGGGACCGGGGTTCTACATGGCCAGAAGTGGCTGCCTCGGTGCTCCATCTGCGGCCTGGCTGCGCTCAGGGCCAGAGTGACAGGTGGCGAGAGTCCACACTAGAGCAGGGAGGTCTTCCGTCTGGACAGCAGCAGGGACTCCTTCACGGCCGCCAGCAGCCCCGGCGGGGGCACGTGCCCCTGGGCTCGGAGTCGGGACAACATGACGAGGGCGGCGGTGGCCAGGCCGGCGCTCAGCACCACTATGGGGGACAGACGGACGGAGGTGGGAGCCCCTTGTAGGGGCACGGGGGGCACAAGAGTAGCCCGAGACCCCGCCCAGACCCCCGTCCCCAGCAGCAGCCACCCCCAGCCCGCAGCACAGGGCAGCCTGTTCATCTTACCAGCAGCTGCGGCGAGCCCATAGGCACTTGGGTTTGCAGCCTGGTACCCAACAGAGGCGGCTGTGGCATTCCTGAGAGGGGTGACAGTCGTCGGGGTCACGGGGGTGCCCGCGGTTGTGGCATTCCGGTCCTGGAGAGTCTCATTGATTTCTGCAAAGAGTCCAGGCAGTGGATAACTGAGGAGGGAGGGCAGGCACCCGGGGCGTGTGGGGAGCACACAGACGCAGGTGGGTCCCACGCCAACGGGCGCCAGGGTCCTGGGGCACGCACCGCAGCCGAGTTCGTCACTGGAGTCGGGACAGTCGCGGTGGCCGTCGCAGCGCCACGTGTGAGGGATGCAGGCGTCCCCCAGCGAGCATCGAATCTCGCCCGCCGGGCAGGGCTGGCGGCTACAGTTGTGCAGGCCCTGATGGCCGCCACCGGGGCAGTCGCTGATGTTGTCACAGGAGCAGGGGAGCCCCGGAGGTGGGGGGCACTGCCCGTTCTGGGTGCAGGGCTCGATCCCTGGGGCACAGCGAGCACGTCAGGTCCCAGATGGCCACCAGGCAGCTCCCCAGACTCTGCAAGCCCCGCCTTGTTCCCAAAGGCTCCACCTCCTTATGTGAGAGCCATCCTCTGGCAAGCCCCTCCCCCTAAGGCCCCGCCATAGCCTCCACTTCCTCTGAAGTCCAAAGCACACAGCCACCTTCCCTACTCTGCTTGCCAAGCCCCGCCCACCCACGTGGAGCTGTTTTCCCACAAGTCCCACCTCCACACGCCCCCTTCCCTCTGCAGCCCCACCCACTGTAAGCTCCGCCCCAGGGCGTGGCCACTCACTGCACTCCTCCTCATCACTGCCATCCGAGCAGTCAGGGTCGCCGTCGCAGCGCCAGGTGAGGGGCACGCAGTAGCCACTGGCGCGGCACTGGAAACTGGAGGGCGGGCACGACCCTGTGCTGGAGCCTGTGGCGTGGGAGCAAGTGACTGCTGGGGGGCCAGAGTCAGGACCCTCCTGCAGGAGCGCCCTGTGTTGCTGGCTGGCTGCGGCCCCCAGGAGACTGGCCGGGTCCCAAAGGACAGGCACCCCATCGGTGGCCACCCCTTGGTGAACACCTTGGTGAACCCTTGTCTACAGAAGGTGAGGCTACAAAGCCAGGGGCAGAGGCAGGGCTCCAAGGTCAAGGTCAGCCTGTCCTATCCCCCCACCCCCACTTAGAGACTGGGAAACCAAGGCCTTGCAAAGAAATTCTGCTCTGCCCTACCAAGCCCTGTCACCCCACCGCCTAAAGTTCTTCCAGATACGACCACACCCTCCAGCCTGACCGGGTGACTCCTCCCCAGATACCCCAGGCCTGGATATCTTTAAAAAAAATTATTTATGGACTTCAACATCAAAGTCAGAGGGAGTGACAGAGAGATCTTCCTCCCGGCTGGCTCACTCCCCAAATGGCCACAATGACCAGGGTTGGGCCAGGTTGAAGCCTGGAGCTTCCTCTGGGTCCCCCACGTGGGTACAGGAGCCCAAGGACTTGGGCCATCACCTGCTGCTTTCCTCAGAGCATTAGCAGGGAGCTGGATGGGAAGTGGCGCAGCCAGGTCTCGAACCAGCACCCATATGGGATGCTGGCACTGCAGACTTCATCTTCAGATCTCACATTACTTCCTGGGAGTGCAGGTTCGAGTCCCTGCTGCTCTGCTTCTGAGCCAGCTCCCTGTGCTAATACTCCTGGGCATGCAGTACCTGACCCAAGAACACACGGGCCCCCGCCACACACGGGAGAGCTGGCTAGAGTTCCAGTCTCCTGGCTTCGGCCTGGCCCAGCCCTGGCCATTGCAGCCATTTGGGGAGTGAGCCAGTAGACAGAAGATCTAACTGTGGCTTTCAAATAAATCAATCGTTTTTCTTTTGTTTTAATTGCTTTCTGGGAGGGGTCTCAAGCCCCTCTCACAGACCCAGCAAGCACTGTGTCCCACGTGCAGCAAGTCTTCACATAGGTGATGCACATTCTCCCATGGACTGGACATTCAGTGGAGGACCCCAGCCCAGGGCAGTGCCTGACATGAGGGTCCAAGCCAGGTGTGGGGGAGAGCAAGTGTTCCTGGCCACCACAGGGCAAGTAAGCCTGGGCCAGAGAGGGGCCGGCACAGGGAGCCTCAGGGACACAGGAGGCCTGCAGGGCTTCCTCCTGGGCCCAGCAAGGAGCCTGGCAAAGAGCACCTGCTGGCTTGGCCATGCTCCATTTGCTTGGCCTGGGGCTCTTGCCTGTTCCCTTCACTCCCCACGGCAGCCCCTCTCCAGGCCTCCTGGCCCACGTACCTGCAGACCACACAGTCTCAGAGCCCTGTGGAGCCCGGAAGAGCTGTGGACAACCCGGAGCCGGCTTCCTTCCCTGCCCCCGGGGGGTCTGAGAGCCTGCAGGTGTGGCTTCCTCCCCACAAACCCCAGGCACTTCCCACCCTCCCTCCCTGCTCTCCTGTGAAGCCGTGTGTGGGCAGGAGAGCCAACGCAGCCTGGCTTTATGGGACAGGAGTAGGAAAGACCAGTGACTCCCCTCCCCCCGCCCCCAAGCTGTTAAAGGCGACCCTGTCTCAGTATTCTACGACCGGCTGTGTGTAAAAAACAAAAGTTTTGTTGGATGAGATGAATCCTGCCTAAAAAGAACCGAGAAACATTTAACGTCAAAGGTCGGGGGTTCTGGAGCGAGTTCTGGGACCAGATAGGAGGAGCGGGGTAGGCGGGTGAACCTGGGAGTCGGAGAGGGATCTGGGGGGGTCGCCCGTTCCCCCGCCCCCGCCCCGAGCCACACTGGGTTCCATTTCACTCCAGGGCCTGGAGCAGCGAGGAGAGAGAGGTGGGGGGGGCGCAGGAGGGGACCCTGGGAGGGCGGGGGCAAGAGTTGGAAGGTGGCAGGTGAGGGCCCCCCGCTGTTACAGGTCAGTCTGTGCAGCCTTCCCCACCACGTTGGGCTGAAGGGCGGCTTGGAGGTGACAATGGGGCAGGCCAGGTGTGGGGGAGGAGGCCGGCGCTCGAGGCCGGCGCAGGGCACCTGAAGGCAGGTGGAGGCAGCTAGGCGAAGAATCGCTCATTCAGGACCCTGTCCACAGGCGCAGGGAATGCTACGAGGTCCACGACCACGTGCAGGAGGAGTGTCCGGGACGGACGTGCCGCTCAGCCAATGGCGAGGCGCAGGCCGCGCACGGGGGTGGGGCGGAGCCGAGGGCGCGCGTCGCGGGGGCCCACTCACCGGGGGCCTGAGCCCAGAGCCGCGGTGGCAACGGAGTCGGGGCGGCCTCCAGGCCCAGGTCGAGGGCTGAGCATGCATCCGCAGGGACAGCTCTCAGGGTAGTCTCTAATGTCCGTTTGTCGCTCTGGCTGTGCCGGGACCAGCCAGCGGCACACTAAATCTGGTACATGCGCG